AATGAAATGAAGTCCAGGAAGAAAATCAAAAGAAAAGCGCGAATATAAAATAAATGATTCCACGAAAAAAATTAATAAAATTATAAAAATTTTATATTATTTTTTAAAAATAATATTTTTACATTATTTAAAAAAAAAAATTTATATGTTAAAATTTTTACCCTGAACCCTTGAACCCTCCACTTTTTAAAAGGGTTCGGGTCCGGGTTCAGCCAAAATACGAGGTTTCAAGGTCCGGGTCCGGGTTCACATCCCTGACTAAGACTAATATACATTTAGTGTTAAAAAATAGTTGATGTTGTAATTAAATTCTTATAAAAGATTTACGTTTAACTTTTATTTTAAGGGCTGCGTGAGATAAAATAGCCTCAAGAATTTTATATGTGAATGTAGTATAATATTAGGTTGTTGATTAACGAAAAATCTTTATAAAGAGAAACGACTTTCGTCATTAAAATATTTATGCCGCTATCGAGCTTATTTAGAGATCGGATTTTTATTTTTTGATCAGTAATAAGATTTGAGATCAATTATGCAACATTATTCTAATAATAGCAGGAAGAAAAACATGCTTTAGAAATATATGTCCCTTGCTTTTCAACAACGTGTGTTGAAAACTTTAATGATTAGATTTCATTTGTTGTTCAAAAACATGGGTGTGAAAACCATAATGATAGAGTTCAATGATTGTTCAACAAAATAGGTGTGAAAACCATAATGATAGAGTTCAGTGGTTGTTCAACAACGTAGGTGTGAAAACTATAATGATTAAACTTCATTAGTTTTTCAACAACGTGTCTGCGAAAAGAAATTATATTATATATTTCAGCAGTTTTTTTTATCAAAGGATGTAAACGATATAGAGAAGAAAATAAATAGATATTATTTTGCTTTAAAGACGTGTGTGCCCAAAAGTGTAAAAGTAGGAGGAAATAAAGTTGCAATTTATTTTAAAAAAAAGATATATTTATATTTTGGAAAAATATCTAGAATTTTTTAGATTCAAAATTATCAAGAGAAATTTAGATTTAAAGGACAACTACAAGCAAATGGTTATGAAGATATGGGTGTAGACTTTATTGAGGGTAAAGGGGTAGTTTAAATTGATATAATAATTTATTTAGTATATTTTAACTATGTATTATAAATTTAAGATATAGTATAATTTACGCCATTTATTAAATAGGCAGAATTAGATTAGAGGAGATAACTGTAGACATTAGGTAAATTTGGTGTATTTAAACTATGTAGTTTAAATTTAAAAATAAATGTAAGAAAAAGTGATAAAATATTTCAGAAGTCATAAAGGGTTAAATAGGTTATTTTTGGTAGAAGTAGATTAGATGCGATCTGAAACGTTGAGACAAAGATTAAGTGAGAATAAAGACAAAGTCAATGTCTAAGAACTGTCGTAGTAAACCCGAAAGTCTAAAAGATTTATACGGTTACAAGAATTATATGCCAAGAACTAATCAATAATAAGAGAACGTTAAAAACAAGCGACTAGATAGAACAAATGGTCAAGACGTTCGTGCTGCAATCGTTAATCGCTTACCAATATCGCCAATTGTTTACGGAAACTTTAGTCTAAGATACAGAAGTTGATGATTATCGGCACAAGAATTTGTGGAAATCTTATCGCAGACAAATTATCGTCAATCGTTTACCGAGATAATGTGCTAATCATTAGTTACCAGAGGCCGTTAGAAGCAAAAGATTAGAATAATTTATCAAAAGAATGTAAGACGAACTATAATATACAAAGGTTAAAAGAGACTAGAATTCTTCCTACAAGCAATCGTGTAATCAATTACCCGTTAGAATCAATTACTGCGATAAAGAGCTATTAGTGACAAGAGAACGTTTGGAACAAGCAAATACTAGGATAACTTATTAATAGAATTTAAGATGGACTTTAGAAAGTTGTAAAGAAAGAATAGTATCAAGAAATAATCGTTGTCTAACTAATGTGAATCGTTGAAAGCATAATAGAGTTCGCCAATAAAGAGATAAAAAGCTACTCGTTTACCAGGGGTTGACAAGCAACAGAAGATAGGATCCCAGAATTTCAAGCTGTAATCGGATACAAATGGTCATTAGAAGCTAAGAATACTAGACTAGTGACATTTGTGGTTAGAACTTAGAAGACATTAAAAATTAAGAATAGATTTGGGGAGATACAAGATTAGTAAAGCCGGAACCAAAAAAAAGATGGTCATTCGTAGAATTGTGGGTCTAACTTAAGTAGAAGGGTGTTGCGATAATCAGTTAAATTTGTTTCAGAGCAGATTATGCAAATGAATATGTATGGGTTATTCAAATTATTTTGGTATTTATTTTATAAATAGCCTTTAATTTAACAGACGATGTAAATGAATATTTAAGAAAGGTTATTTGGTTTATTATAAAAATAGTGAAAGGGCATAGCCACTCGCTTATTAGAGGAAAGGCGAACACAATTGAAATAAAAAAAACCTGGACATTCTTCTTTTTCTTAATAAAAGTTTTGATTTATAAATTTTTAATCATTTGGAATAAGTGTAGCAATAAGGCTATGAAAAATTTTAAAATACCATGAATTTTCGGGCGTTACCAAAATATGGTTTTTCTTGAGCGGGTGGTCGAGTCAAATTTTTTTTAGTAAGCGTGAAAATTTTTATTGCCACTAGGCCATCTTACACCTCTAGTCCAACCAAGCTGTTCTGCTCCTTTCGTCAGGTAAAAAAAAATTTCATAGCGCGCCCAATGTTTTAAAAATATTTTAAATAATAAAGGCTTTATATGACAATGGAATTTATAGAACAATTGTAAAATCTTCGTTAAGCAAAAGTTCTGATATAGGCAAAGTCGAAACATAAAAAGATAGCTCAGAATTATTTAAAAATTATTATCCAACATTGAATTATAATAAATACCTTAAAATTATAACATTGAACGATTTCGAACATTTTGAAAAAATTGCAACTAGCTTTTAACTTGAAAATGTAAATATTATATGTGCAGAATTTCCTATACCCTACTGTCAAAACAGAGAGGCATATCTCATTAAAAATAATGTATGCCATTTTAAACTCTAATCAAAGTTTAATAAATAAGTCTTGGTAATAAAATCGTTCTTCGCTATCATACGATTTATTTAAAGCCGAACTGTTGATAAAACATAATTTTAACATGAATTGCGAAATTTATTCCCAAAAATAAGAAACTTATAAGATTCTTCCGATAAAAAAGTATAGAATTATATTTTAAAATATATTTTGATTTATAAATATGCATTGGGGAGGTCGGGTCACGTTGAGTACAGGGCGATATTCAATTCTAATTAAAATTTATACTATTCTTAAGAATAATAATTTAAGCATAATATAGATAATTGTGTCATACTCATACATGATATTCTTGGAAACCGAAGGTCACAGGTTCAATCCTGGTAAGGAACTATAAAAATTTTCATGTTTTTCTTTGATATGTGTAAAAAGATATGATAGGATGAATTTCTGAGCAGAGAAATGCCACTCCGATCACCGACAGGCTTGGACAGCCGGGTACTAGGATACTTGTCCAATAAACCAAATGGAAGATGACCAGCTGAACTTGTGGGCCATTCAAGGATGATAGCGATCTTTTGGCCAGCTCTAGGATAATGGTGACATCGGGGACCGTTCTAGCACAATGTCTACCAAGACTTGATAACGATACACCGGTGAGAGATCAAGCATACAATGGAATCGATAGGAATACTCCGGTGAGAAATCTGTCGATATGGATACTTCAGTGTGAGGAATACTCCGGTGGGTTATCTCTCAATTTGATACTTCGGTGTGAGATCTAGATACAATGGCCTCGATAACGATACTCCGGTGGGAGATCCAAATGGAATCGATAAGAATACTCCGGTGGGATATCAAAAATATAAATTAGATAAGATAAAAAGAGATAGCATGAGTAATAAAGTGGAGAGATTTGGAAGGAGTTGGTGAAAGCTAAAAAAAACATGATAAGTCGAAAAAGATTTAGTATTTAAATAATTGCTAACTTAATTTTATTATTTATAATTAGAGAACACTCCCCCCCCCCCCCCCCCACACACACACAAAAAAAATATTTGTAGATTATTTTTTTGTGTTTTAAATTTAGTGAATTGTAATTTAAAAGGTTAAAAGACCAGATGGATTCCTTATTGCCTGGCCCAACGGTTTCCACTAGTGTGATACTTAAAATGCATTGACTTTTTTTAGAATTTACAACCCTAATATATCAACTATTAGTCGTATAGGGCTAAGAAAAAAATATTTACCTAGAAAATGTTTTTAAAGAGTTTTCCTATTATTGATATTTATTAAGATATTTGTTTAAATAACATCAAAATAAACTCTTTATAAACCCAGAAGCTTAATGAATGGTTAATCGAATGAGGCTTTTTATATTCGTCAATCTATTGCAATTTATATCTGTCGAAGCAATTGCATATCCATTCTGCGCTAAATAATTAGCTTATTTATTAATAGTTAATTTTTTGGATGGAATATCCATATTTAAATAAATTAGATTACCTGCAATAGAAAAAATCTTTCAAATTGTTGTCCTTTGAAAATGAAAGATAATCAATAGCCTTAATTTTAGCCCGGAATTTGATATTTTGTTGAAAAAATGTAGCATGAAAATTTAAAAATATTAATAAATCACACATTTTCGAAAGTGTTCAATACTCAAAACTTTTGATAACTTAAGTAAGATAACTCTATGAATGTATAATTAGAGTATTTTTATTATCTAAAGTGTATAACAGCAATTCTAATGATAATGATCTTATAGATGAGTATTTATAATTTTATCAAAGTACGTATCAACGTTTAATAATTTAAAATTTAATATATACTATATACACAGATATTTATTGCTTTATTTTGATTAAGAAATTATTGCCGTTATGGCCATTAACTGAGAAATATAAATTTTTGTTATGTGTACCAACAATTTTTGACGAAAATTTGATTGAGAAAATTACAAATAAATAATATAGGAAGACTTTTATACTTTTAAACGAGACATTATTATCAAATTTAAGCGTAAAATATATGTCACATTTCTGATCATGGCATCGTAAATCTTTTAAGTTATTTATAAATATGGTCAATTAATTGAAATATATAACATAACCATTCTGATAAAGCACCTAGTTGATAAGGAATAAAAAAAAATTAATGCAGATTATTTTTTTTTGGATTAAAAAAAACTAAATAATTGGCTATTTATTTAATTCTTAAACGGATTCAACATTTATTTATAGTTAAAATTTAAATTTTCCCCCGAAAGTATAAGTGAGTAACGTTTTACAGATATGTTTTTATATTGCATATTCGCGGCAACTACCAACGTCATCATATTTTTTTCGCAGTCGTTTCTAAAAAAATTTCCCATTTATTTTTTTCTCTCCTGGATGGCCTTCTGCCTCAATCTTCGCTCCCTTCTCTCTTGGCGCAATTTAAGCCATAATCGGTACTCGAAGCAGCTAATCACACAATAACTGATCAGATCGGTAGGCGAGCCTAGCAGAGGCTAAAAATTGTAAAAAAATAAAATAAAAGAATTAAATGTTAATTTATCGATAGTTTTAAAAGAATATAATATTGTTTCTCTCTGGCATTGGGGCAAAATTTAGTAATCTTATAATATTATATTAAGAATCTTCCTTCACTTATTTCATTTTTTTTTAAAAAAAATCTATACAATATTTTGTTTCAAATTCATGGAATTGATTTTAGAATCTTTCGCATGTTTAAATTTTACAAAAAAATCTTAAATTTAATATGAAAAAAATTTGTAAGTTAATTGAAATTTTGAAAATTGTATATAAAACATGTATTTTTTCTTATACATAATGATCATTCTCCCCTAAGCATACTTTTTATAATAATTTTCTTTTTTTTACATTCATTCACGTGACATAAAGACCTGGTTGAACGCTCAAAACACGATGCAAAGCTAAGATAATTTTGTCAGCCTACATAAAATATATTATATATATATTTAAAAAAAATAAGGATTAGGTTTTAGGCAATAGAGACATAATAGAGAAGATTTATTTTTACAAATCCCAAAAAATTAACTAGAATAATTTTTTAAAATTGCAAAAAAATAATTAAATTTAAAAAAAATGAAGGACGAAAACGGAAAAAGCGACATAAATTTCCCAAGCAATGCAACTGACATTTGGCGAATGGAAAGTATACAAAAATCAAGATTAAAAGAAGCAAAGAATGGTAAGATGATTATAATAAAAGTATTAAGGAATATGCGTGTATCGCAGGGTTTTAATGAGTTCAGGATATGTTTTATTAACCAGGAGTTTTAGTCAATAGCGTGCGTTTTTCTAAACTTTGTAAACATGTGCTGGGATACATTCAAACAAAATCAGGTCTTTCAAAATTAAAAAACGCATGCTATAAATGATTTATAAATTCGGGGTCATTGATGCATATCACTGAATTCACTAAACTCCTATGATATATATAATATCGATTGAAACCAAATATTTGGAGATGTAATGGATGAGTCATTAATAATATTAAATAAATTTAATTTAAATTTAAAAAAGTGTAAAATATTAAAGAAAATTAGAAGGCAAGCAAAAGAAAAAAAAATAGAATTCATGCACCACCGCATTACGACGTTAAATAAAGCGCACATCTATTTAAGATCTCCATTTTCGATTTTTTTAAAGGTACAAAAACAACATATAAACATCAAGTTGTAATAAATGTAAATAATATCAATGACTGACCTCATCAGATGTGTACATTAGATCCACCAATTGTTGAGTGTAATAATCTGTTGTTCAGAAAAATGAACATTAAATAATAATAAATATGGTATTAAAATAAATTTTTTTAAAATATATTCAAATAATAAAATCACCAAATATTTGCAAGACAAATATCTTATTATCCTTTTCCGATCGGCACTTCTTGATTTGATTCAGATGCAAGGTAGTCTTTGTAATTATTTTTTCAAAATGAAATAAAAAAATATTAAAAAATTTTTTTTTACCTTGCCATCCGGAAAAGCTATAGTTATTCCATCTAAAGATACATCTAACAAACCCTTTTCATCAGAATATAAACTTCCAATTTCAAATTGCCCACCAATCTCTGATCCTAAAAACCAAAAATGACACAATATATTTTTTAAATAAAGTTTTTTTTGAAAGATCAAATCATTTTATTTACTTTAAAAAATATAATAAAAATAACATGTAAAAGCTATTTAAAAAATAACATATATAAAAATCAAATATGTTTTATATCAGGGACGTGAACTCCGATCCTAGTATTTTTGCTGAGCCCAATCTCGGATCCTTTTTAAAAGTGGAATGTTCAAGGATTCTATGTGTCAAAAAAAATATTTAAAAGAATATTTAAAAAAAAGATTTTCTTTTAAATTCATAAAAAATAAAAAAAATTTTAATTTTCGTGGAATCATTTTTTTTAAATTTTTGGGTTTTTATACTTTCATTTTATGGGTAATATTTTGTTTTAATTTATATAAATTTTAAAAATTAAAATATTGTGAATCTTGTGGTGTAGGTAATTAAGGAAATTTAAAATATAAATAAATTTTTTACTTGTAAATTATGAAAAATAAAAAAAAATGGGAAAAAAATTTGAGTCAATATTTTTTATGTTCTTAAAACCATAAACCCAAACCGGGTTTTTTTATTTCTGAATACGAACCATTTTTTTTGTAGAAAGGTTCACATCCCTGTTTTTTTATAAAGTTCATAAAGATTGTCGAAAACTGAATGTATGAGAGAAAGACGGAAAAAGAAAACGAAGGAAATGATGACGAAAGATTAAAAAGTTGAAATTGAAAATTCGTAATGTCTACCTAAAACTTTTGTGTCGCCAGTTTGGGCCGCTATCCTTTCCATTATATCTTTTATCGCTTCGTACAATTCGCGACACTAAGTATTTAAAAAAAATTAAAATAAAACGCACTCAAATATAATATCGTAAATATGAGGTTTGTATTTGTTGTGATCTGAGCCGGGCACACGTCCACGAACGGTAGGGCGACAGAGGGATCGACAAGTGTCGATGAAACAAAAATTTCAAGTTGGGAAAAGAGGACCCGGTTTCATCGGAATCTTGGTCATAAATCATGAATCTAAAAACTGTGAGGGTTGATTTAACTATGATAATATAAGGGCAGCTTCCGTTAACGAAAATCGTACAACCTATCGTTGCTTTAAGGGTACACACGTTTAAAACATACGTCATTTAATTAGATTAACTTTAATCCAAAGTAAGTAAATTATAGTCCTTTTATTGAGATAAAAATTTAATCAAAAAGTAAAATAATTATAATCACTTACATGAATACGGTTTTATCAAAATATAACCCGAATTTCAATTTAAAAATAACGTAAAAAGAATTTCTAAAATTCTAATGAACTTTTTTTGCCGTTTTTGTATTCTATTTATAAAATATTTGAACAAAGATATTAATAAAAAAATATTTTTCTTTTAAAAGGTGTTTCTTTTATGATAATATTTTATTTGAGACATAATCTAGATGGGGAAATTATTATCGCATGTTTATTTTATCGAAATTTTAAAACAAAAGGAGATAAAATATAAAAAATATTATCTTTTTTAGGGGTGTTTGTTGATAATATATAATTTGAGAGTTAACAAATATGGACCCCTACAATGTAATAAAAGTAACTAAAAACTACTATTAACCAATGTGTTTGGCACAAAAAAATAATATCATCGAAGAAAGTTTAACTCTCCCAAAGTCCTACCTTCAGTCTCTTCATGGTGGGGGAGTGGCAATGGCGGCTAATGGAGGTCTAAAAGGTTCCCTGTGATCTGGGTCTAGAAAAGGATCACGGTCTTCTCGACAGGGTGTAAAAACCATTTAAAGGGGTTGATATCAAGAAGGGTATCCGATTGTAAAAACCGTTACAAAATCTCCTAATGTTTACAACAGCATGGGCGGGGTACAGTCCAAAGTACCCAGTGGGCCTCCTCATCAGCCTATGACAAAGAGAAGGTTGGGAAACCTGGTGGAACCACAATTCGTAAAAAACGACCATAAACGTCCTGATAATATGTGAAGGCACCAGTTTACGGGGGGTAGAGCAGGTCGCGACATGGAATGTTGGGAGTATGACGGGAAGAGCGGGAGAAGTGGTCGATGTATTTCATAGAAGGCATATAGATGTGTGCTGCATACAGGAAACCAGATGTAAAGGTGGGGCAAGAACATGGGCAAGACTAATGAAAAGTATAAATTTTCTGGCAAGGAAGTAATGATTGTAAGGCTGGAGTTGGGGTATTGGTTGCGGAGAAATTGGTGGACAAAGTAGTCGAAGTGAGAAGGCTAGTTAACCAGATAAGTTATCAAGATGATTTTTGGTAGAAAGCTATATAATATATTCTCGGCATATGTTCCTCAAGTTAGAAGAAGTGAAGAAAAAGATATATTTTGGGACAGTCTATTGAGGGCGACATCGAGACTGACAATATGGATATGTGGGAGCGAGTAGGGGAGAAGATTTTAGATTTTAGTGATGCTATGGATATGATTGTCTGTAATACAATGTTTAAGAATAAATCAGAAAAGCTGCTGACTTATAAGTCGAGTAGTACCAAAAGTGCAGTGGATTACTTGCTTTTAAGGAGATGTGATAGAAGTATCGTAAAAAATGTTTAGGTGATACCGGGAGAGGAATGTATTAATCAGCATCGACGAGTATAAGAGATCTCACTTTTAAAGGGGCCAGGATCACTAAAAGAAAGTCTGTGCCAAGGCTGAAGGTTTGGAAATTGAAGGAGGAGAGTGTTGACGCCAATTCAATATGACATTGTGGGGTAAATGACAAGTGAGAAGCCATGAAGAAACCTGGGTGATGACAACTGAGGAGGTATGTGGATGGACAAAAGGGCCGTCTAGACATAAAGAGACTTGGTGGTGGAACCCGAAGGTAGCGAAAGCTGTGGATGAGAAACGGAGGTGCTTCAAAGAATGGTATATTGGTAAAGAAAATAGTGATAACGATAATTACAAGATGGCGAAAAGAAATACTAAGAAATTAATAGCGAAGGCGCAAGAAGAAAAAAGACAGAAGTTTGCTAAAGAAATGGAATGCGTTAAAAGAAAGGGAAATGTGGTTCGAATGGCAAAGCAGATGGCTAGAGGCAGGATGTGGTGAATGTTAAATGTTTGAAAAATATGGAAGGAAAAATGGTAATTGATATTAGTGGTATTAAGAACATTTGGAAAATCTACATGGAAGGACTTTTGAATGAAGAAAATAAATGAGATAATGATGTTAGTTGTGCAAAGGTAGAGGGTCCAGGGTGTAAATTTTGCAAGGACGAAATAAAGAGAGCAGTGAAAAAGATGAAAAAGGGAAGGTATCGGGATAAATGAGAGTGGTATCAGAGATGTTTAAAGGTTCTGATGAATTAGGGAATGAATGGTTAATGAATATAGCCAATCAAATTGTCACAGATAAAACTATCCCCGAGGACTGGCGAAGAAGTATAATTATCCCAGTATACAAGGGGAAAGGTGATCCATTAGATTGCGTGTCTTACAGAGCTATTAAACTCTTGAAACAAGCAATGAAGGTATTCGAGAGGGTGTTAGAGAAGCGGATAAGGTAACAAACTAAAATTGATGAAAAGCAGTTTGGTTTTCCATTGGGGAAAGGAATGACAGGTGCAATTTTTGTGGTGAGACAAATATAGAAGTATCTTGCAAAGGAAAAGAAAAGGTATTATGCGTTTATTGATTTAGAGAAGGCATTTGACAGAGTGCCGCGCGAGGTTACTAGATGGGCCTTGAGAAAATCAGGTGTGGAGGAATGGTTGATTATGGCAGTGTTGGCAATGTATGTGGGAGTACAAGAGGTAAGGAAGGATGATAGATAGTGAAAGCTTTGAAGTGAAGGACTGCATCAAGAATCCGTGCGGAGTCCATTATTATTTATCTTAGTAATGGATGTGGTGGCTAGAGAAATAAGTGAAGGACTTCCATGAGAGCTATTATATGCAGATGACCTTGTATTAATGGCAAACATTGAGGAAGAATTGCGGGATAAAATTAGTAATTGGAAGATGGCTATGGAAGCAAAGGGCCTGTAAATGAATGCAGCAAAGACAAAGGTGATGATTGTCTAAGATGAAGGAATGTAAGTGGCCTTGTGTGTATGTGGGAAAGGAGTTGCTGGAAATTCAATCCAATACACCAGAAATGGGTACATAATAGTTGTAGGGGGAAAAAGGAAGTTTGATGGAATGATCTTTATTTGTAGAACGTGCATGAAAGGGGTACATAATAATGATAAAGTAGACAATGGTGGTTTATATATTGGCAATGGGTTAACCCTAGAGTGGATAAGTTTTGTTATGTGGATGATATGCTAAACCGTTGTTGCAAGGGTCAGACAAATGGAAGAAGTTCAGAGAGATGACGTCTATTCTAACAAATAAAAAAGTCCCTCTGAAGCTAAAGGGAAAGTTTACGTAAGCTAAGTGAGGAGTTGTTTAGTTTATGGTGGCGAAACATAAACAATGAACTCACGAAGCCAAATTAGAAAGAACAGAGATGTGGATGATTAGATGGATGTGTGGGGTATCAAAAAACTAGCAAGGAATTGAGAGCAAGATTGGGTATAGAAATGATTGAAGTGGTAATGCGATGATAGACTAAGATGTTGTGGTCCGTGGAACGTATGACAAAAGATGACTGGGTAAAGAGATGCACCTTCATGATAGTAGGAGGATCAAGACCTAGAGGAAGGCCCAAAATGACGTGGACAAATGTGATGTGGATATGAGAAGCATGAATTTTAAAAATATTGATGCTCAGGACCGTCAAAAATGGAAAAGAAAAATCAGAAGGAAAACTGGCCTACCTGGGTAAACCTGGAAAACGCCATAAAAAGGAGAAGAATCGAGGAAAGTTTAAAAGCAAAATATACGAGTGCCAACAACAATTGGAACGAAATAATAAAAAAGTTAAGACTGTACACCGAAAAATAATAAAATCTAGGACAATTTTGAATAAAATAAGTGAAGGGCCCTAGAAATAAGGTATAAAAAGAAATATATAAAAAGGAATCAAGAATAACAGAAAGAATCATATAAAACCGAGAGTAAATATTAAAGAATATAATAACAGTATTAATAGGTATATTTTCTTCTTCCTTTTTTCTTTATCTAAAAGGTGTTCTAGTTATTATCTAACTGATCAAATACATTTAAAAAATAATGAATAATAAATTCCATTCCAATATATTAAAGGGTTATTTATTTTATAATAAACTTTCTTAGTAAAAAACTTTTGGAGATAAGTCTTATTGCCCGATTTCCACCACAAACATAAAACCTTGTTACGAGGGCTCAAGGTCATATTGATCAATTTATCATACCAAAGTCTGTCAATTATATCACCTTTGATGGTCCTAAAAACGATAGCATCCTCGCATATCTGTGACAAAAATTGAATTTGTAAATAAAATAGTGTATGTAATCAATCCGGTCCAGACCAAAAGAGTAGGCGCGTATTGCAAATTTGACTATGTTCATAAATATCATTTTAAGCGAATAAATATATTCCCTCCTTCATTTAAAATTTTGCAAATATTTGTATACCAATTCTCCAACAAAAAATTTTCTTTCCTTATGAGTAATATTAACATAATTCATAAATATTAATAAAATGGAAAAAATTTTAATTAAAGAGATAGAAATAAAACGGTAATTTATTTTATCATTGTGATTATTTCTAGTTATATCTATTATGGTTTATTCAAAATTATTAGTGAATTAGGAATTAATAAGTATTTTTCATAATATTTTAATTATAAAAAAATATCTAGAATTTATTAAATATTGTTCATTTTTACTTCCATTTTGTAGAACAGAAGAAATAGAAATACAAAAGTTAAATAAAGTTGAGCATGAAAAAAATGAACGAATACAAATTGGAAAAAAATGGTAAAGGTAGGTAGCATATATTTTATGAAAATCAAGTTAGGCATTAGTTATAATTTTTTTTATTAATTAAAACTATTTTATTTATAATGTTTGTAGTAGTGGAGATGTGGTGGTTCAATAGATAAAAAGTTAAAGGGCGACGGCCAGTCTTAAAACACCATTTATGTTATGACCTTTTAAAAAAAATATAATATAGTTAGCACATAGTTTTTTTTCCAGATTATTACAATATTTTTATTGATAAAATAACCATTTTAAAATTAAATTTTTCCATTGCATATATACATTTATGAGATTAGTTTTGTCCAACTATCCTAATGAGAAAAAATTTATACAAATTATTTTATTAAGGTTTCATGAACCATGTGATATATATAATTTCTTAAAGAATGATTTAACTCCTGAAAAAAATTAGAAATTTTGGAAAATATACATCAACCAGATATAACTTTCTCATTTATTAGGGACACTACAACAAGAAAACTATATTTTTAATATTAGGTGGCCATGGCTAGCATTTTCTCCTACCATGAATGATACATTCTGCAAGAAATGCTATTTATTTGATCCAAAATTTGCTGAAAGAGCCCAGTAAAAATTACAAAGTCTAATATTAGCACCATTTAGACGCTGTTGAAATTTTTAACAACTATCAAAATAATATGTATCATATTGATGCACAACAAGTTATATATTCCTTGCGATCTATAAAAAATGGAGAATCCATGGATATTATTCGAATAATTGATACTGGAAAACAAGGACTTGCCTTGAAGAATAGATTCAGACTAAAGTCAATTATTGACGCTATCCTGATATGTGGTATCCAAGGTATCGCCCTTCCAGGACATAAAGATAGAGGTTCAATATTTGATAATGATAATAACAATAATGATGAAATTCTTAGAGCTATTCTTAGACATAGATTTCTTGGAGATCCTACACTTAAAGATAATTTATTAAATGTTTTTGAAAATGCCACCTATTGAGCCCAGTAATTCAGAATAAAATCATTAATGCCTGCAATGAATTATTATTGAAGAAAAATCAACAAATCACCCTACTTTTCGGTATTGGCTGATGAGACAACAGATGTCTCTGGAATAGAACAAATGTCTTTATGTGTACATAACCCTGGATGGTAAGCTTATAATTTTATGAATAATAAAAAAATTATCATCATTGGTGTTATACAAATATTAGAAGAATTTTTACAGTTTACACCAGTTGTGGATAGAGTAATATAAGCTAAATATACATTTAATATGCGATAACAAGGTTAAGATAGTGCCCCAGCTATGAGTAGCCATTTAAATGGTGTCAAAGCACATATTTTAAAAAATTACCATCCACTATACATGTTCACTGTGTATCTCATTCGTTGAATTTGGCAATATCCGATTCATGTGCTCTACCTTCTATACGCAATGTCATCCATATTTTAACTTATAAAATAAATATTTTTAGCTATTATTTCCAAAATTTATGATTTTATTAATTATTCGAAGCGATGTTTTAAATCGAACTATATGAATGAACCAGAAACCCATCATCAAAATTTAAAAAAATGTGCCCTACACTACATGATGGGTTATAAGTCATGATTTAGTTTCGACATTTATAGAACTGGAAGAGATTATCAGTATCTATACATGAAGTTACTAAATGGCAAGATAGTATTTTGTTTTCAGAAGCGATATTATTATTTAATTCAATAGATCAATCAGAGTATATCTTTGCTGATAATTATTTTCCTATAGCTCACTACCTTTGTAGAAATTTACAAATTAAGATTTGGTTCACGTTATTGATTTAGCGGAAAATGTTTATAAACAGGTTAATACAATAAGAATGAATATAGATGAATATTTTCACATTATTTATCGCATTGAATTGAAGGCTAAATTTTATGATATAACACTAATTAAACCATGTCTAGCACCTAGGCAATTTTTGAAATATAAATGTTGACTCAACTGTATAATATTATAAAATATCCATTTTATTCTTAGATATAAAAAATTTTTTATTGAAAATACTAATTGTAGTGTGTTTTAAATATTGACTAGAAAACAATTAAAAAACTAGTTTTTATAACTCTATCAAATACAAAATTATACAAATAATTTATTAAATACTATAAATATTTTTAATTTTCTCCGTTTTATGGCGTTTCAAGGTTTACCAAGGTAGGCCAGTTTTCCTTCTGGTTTTTCTTTAATTTTTACCGTCTTGAGAATCAATATTTGCAAAATTCATGTATCGCCGTTATCACATTTGTCCACGTCATCTTGGGCTTTCCTCTAGGTCTTGATCCTCTTACTTCCATTAAGGTGCATCTCTCTACCTAGTCATCTTTTATAATACGTTCCACATGCCCAATTAGTCTATTTCGCTGCATTACCACTCCAAACATTTCTATGCCCATTCTTGCCCGCAATTCCCTGCTAGTTTTTCTCTCTTTCAGAGATACCCCACACATCCCATCCTCATCTCTGTTCCTACTAATTTGGCTTCGAGGGTCGTTTTCATTGCCCATGTTTCGCCGCCATAAACTAAGCAACTCCTCACACAGCGTATGTAAACTTTCCCCCTAAACTTCAGAGAAACTTTTTTATTTGTCAGAAAAGACGACATCTCTCTGAACTTCTTTCATGATTCTCTGACCTTTGAAACAACGGCTGAATCTACACCACCATATGCGTTTAATATATCACTTAAATAACAAAACCTATACACTTTCTCTAGGGTTAACCCATTACCTATACAAACCCCCATTTTCTACGTTATCATCATTATGTACCTCTTTTATGCACGTTCTACAAATAAAGGTCATTCTTACTATTATTAAACTTCCCTTTTACCCCTACAACTATTATGTACCCATTTCTGGCATCTGGTGCATTGGATTGAATTTTCAGCAACTCCTTTCCCACATACACCACAAGGCCACTTACCGGATTCCTCCATCTTTAGATTTTCCCCATCAATCATCACCTTTGTCTTTTCTATATTCATTTTCAGGCCCTTTGCTTCCATAGCCATCCTCCATTTACTAATTTTATCCCTCGATTCTTCCTCACTGTTTGCCATTAATACAAGGTCATCTGCATATAATAGCTCCCAGAGAAGTCCTTCACATATTTCTCTAGCCACCACATCCAATACTAAGATAAATAATCATAGACTCAGCACGGATCCTTAATGAAGTCCTACCTTCACTTCAAAGCTTTCACTATCTTTATTATCCGTCCGTACCGTGGTTTGTGCTCCCACATACATTGCCAACACTGCCATAATCAACCATTCCTCCACACCTGATTTTCCCAAGGTCAATCTAGTAACCTCGCGCGGCACTATGTCAAATGCCTTCTCTAAATCAACAAACGCATAATACAGTTTCTTTTCCTTTGCAAGATACTTCTATATTTGTCTCACCACAAAAATTGCATCTGTCGTTCCTTTCACCGATGTAAAACCAAACTGATTTCATCAATTTTAGTTTGTTCCCTTATCCACTTCTCCAACACCCTCTTGAATACCTTCATTGCATGTTTCAAGAGTTTAATAGCTCTGTAAGACATGCAATCAAATGGATCACCTTTCCCCTTGTATTCTGGGAGAATTATACTTCTTCGCCAGTCCTCGGGGGTAGTTCCTTCTGTGGCAATTTGGCTAAATCATTAACCATTCATTTCCTAATTCATCAGAACCTTTAAACATCTCTGATACCACCCTCATTAACCCGATACCTTCTCCTTTTCATTGCTCTCTTTATTTCGTCCTTGCTAAATTTATATCCTGGACTTTCTACCTTTGCACAACTAACATCATTATCTCATTTATTTTCTTCATTCAAAAGTCCTTCCATGTAGATCTTCCAGGTGTTCTTAATACCACTACTATCAATCACCATTTTTCTTTACATATTTTTCAAAGATTCAACATCTATCACATCCTGCCTTTTTGTCATCTGCTTTGCCATTTCAAACCATATTTCCCATTCCTTCAGCGCATTCTATTTCTTTAGCAAACTCCTGCCTTTTTTCTTCTTACGCCTTCGCTATTAATTTTTCAGCATTAGTTTTCGCTATCCTGTAAATATCGTTATCACTAATTTCTTTACTATTATACCATTCTTTAAAGCATCTCCGTTTCTCAATTATAATGTGATTTTTAATTTTCGTGGGCAATTCACGAAGAATTTGGTCTATCGTTGGAACCAAATCTTTGCGGATATTTAACAGAGCTTAACCATTTAGCCGAGATTCGGTTGTAGTAATTCGTAAATAGGTTTTCAACCTTCTCAAATTGGAAAAGGTCCTTTTATTCGTACATCTTGATAGGCAAACATGCAAGAATATAACAACTTCAAAATATTTGGAAATTGAGCCAAGGTTTCCTTGCATCGATTGAGCGCATCAATAGTATGCTCAGGTAAAATAACCAAACATAGTAAATATTTATACCACAATTCGAATTCATTGATTT